CTGACCTTCTTGGTTCAGTTATTTTTAAATATGACTGTGTGCTTATTGTTGGTGATCTTAACATTCATATCTGCTGTAATGACGATCCGTTAGCCAAAGATTTCCTTGCATTAACAGACTCTTTTAATCTTGTCCAGTAATCAACCAACCCATGCTAGGGGCCATACTCTCGATCTGGTTTTTTCATATGGCTTGGACATTAGCATTAAGGATATAAGCAATGTTGGGATTTCTGATCACTTTCCTGTTATCTTTGATGTTAACTTATGTACTTCTGAACTTCACCCTGAGTCTTTCCTACACCCTACACGTATAATTAATTCTGGAACTGTGGAGAATTTTTCAACGTCTTTTCCGAAACTTGCCTCCTCCATTCCTGACTGTTCCCTATCTTCCACGATTGATGACTTTGCTAGTACCTTTTTTTCCACATGCTCCTCCATCCTCAATACTGTTGCCCCTGTTAAAATGAAGCACCCTAGATCCTTTTCCCGATGCTGGCTAAACGATTCTACACGTGCCTTGAAACGTGTGTGCCGCCGGGATGAGAGAAGATGAAAGAAAGATAGACTCCAGGTTTCTTATGATATCCTGCGTGCCCGCCGGTTGCAATTCAACTTGCTGCTAAAATGGCTAAAGCTGCCTTCCTATCTAAAATTATTCTTACTCATGGTCACAACCCCCAATCCCTCTTTAATGTTTTCAGTTCATTGGTTAACCCCTGTCCTGAAATGCCACTGGCGTGCTCTCCTGCTCTCTGTGAAAATCTTTTAACTCATTTTATTCATAAAGTTCTACATCTTAAGTTCTCGCTCCCTTCGGTGCCGAGTTTTACTCCCACCCCTGGTTGTTCATTATCATTTCAACAGTTTGAGCCGGTGTCACTCCATACTCTCAAGCGACTTATTGACCAATCAAAGGACACCTCTCCTGCTTATGATATCCTTCCATCTCGTATAGTTAAGGATTGCTTCAGCGTAATTGAACTCAGCATCCTATCTCTAATGAATATATCCCTACTTGCAGGCTCTGTTCCTTTAGCCTTCAAACACGCTGTTGTCCAGCCCGTTCTTAAAAAAAAGAACCTTGATCATAACGATCTTGGAAACTATAGGCCAATCTCTAACCTTCCATTCCTGTCCAAAATACTGGAGAGGATCGTTCTTTCACAACTCCAGCCGTATTTGGACCTGAATGCCATTTATGATAAATTTCAGTCTGTTTACAAACCCTGTTATAGTACTGAAACGGCCTTGCTCAGAGTCCTCAATGATCTCCTTCTGATTGCTGACTCTGGACGCTCTTCAGTCTTGGTCCTACTAGATCTATCCTCGGCTGGTAGATCATAACATCCTATTAGCGAGGCTTGAACACACAGTTGGCATTGGAGGTGCCGCCCTTGATTGGTTAAGTCATACCTTTCTAATAGGTCCTTCTCGATCAATTTTGGCCCTTATTTATCCTCTGCTGCAAGGATCTGTCCTTGGCCCCCTGCTCTTCTCACTGTATATGAGGCGCAATCTTTGAGAAGTATAACATTACACATCAATCAATCAATCAAAGCTTTATTTGTCACATGCAGGTTGCCCTGCAGTGAAATGGGACCCCCCCCGACCTTACACATATAGCATAAACATTACATGGGGATACAGGTCGGAGATTGGTAGAATCAGAGAAAAAAAACATTGAAATGTACACTACAGTGGGGAAAGTACAAGAGGAAAAAAAGAGACCCCTACTCATGCTGTGCTTCCATGGTAGGACAGCATGAGAACAGGAAACAAAAAAACTCCTCTGCACAAAGAGCACATAAATGTCCACAGCACAACATTATGAAGACATGACAAGCTACAGGGGTGGGTGGGGGGTGAGGAGTAATCCAAAACAAACACAGCAGCCGCCCTGCACAGCGCTACCATTCCAGCGCGGCACAGAGACCCGCCGTGTTCCCTCGCAGGAAACAAGCATCGAAGGCGTTGGAAAGGGAGGGGGGATGAGTGAGTGCCTATCAGTGTAAGTGTATGTGTGTGCGTGTCCATAGTTCAGCTGAGACAGTGTCCTTCGGCCTATCAGGCTAAGTAAACAGTCCTCCAGCCAATCCAGGTGTCCTTGCATGGGATGGGAAGAATAGTCATCACACAGTCGTTATCAGGGAGTTGTTTTGGTGGGCTCCAGCCTCGGGCCTGAGCAGCTGGCGCCGTGGTGTCCAAATGTTGAATATTGTTGATTTTTCCTTTATGCGAGCAGCTCCGAATTTAGCACTCTGACACTGGTCTCTCGATCTCCCGTTGGAGAGCCGCGAGCCTCCCCATGATGGTATCAAACTTCATTGTTATGCTGACGACATACAGATGTATTTCGAACTAACTGATGATCCTGCTATGTCTTTGTACGGCTTTCGCAAGTGTATGCGTGAGGTCAAAAATTGGCTCGCAGGTAATTCTCTTATTCTAAATGACAGGAAAACTGAAATTATCGTGTTTGACAGCAGAGTCCCTCGTGGCCAACTCCGTGACGCCCTCGGTTCCTTTAACAGTTTCCTCACCGACACTGTTAGTGACCTGGGTGTATTCTTGGACAGCTCTTTTAAGTTCGACAAACAAGTGTCTTCTGTTGTTAAATCTTGCTTCCATCAATTGCGTCTTATTAGCAAGGCCAGACATTATGTTCCGCATAGGGACCTTGGAAAGCTTATCCACGCCTTTGTGACATCTAGGTTGGATTATTGCAACTCACTTTACTTCGGTCTTAACTCTCCTGTCCTCCATAGACTCCAAATTGTTCAGAATGCGGCTGCTCGTCTCCTTACTGGTAGTGGGCGCCATGTCTCTATTACCCCTGTCCTTGCTGACCTGCATTGGCTTCCCATTAAGTATCGCATTCAATTCAAAATCCTGCTGCTTACCTTCCGAATTATTAACAATATAGCGCCAAGCTACCTCATTGAGCTACTTAGATTATACACCCCTACTAGAGCACTAAGATCATCTTCCCAGTCACTCTTGGTGCTCCCGAGATCCCGGTTGAAGACTAGAGGTGACCGCGCGTTTGCCGTGGCAGCACCTGATTTATGGAATAACCTCCTCATCGCTATACGCGAGTCTGATTCCATCCATTTCTTCAAATCGCGGTTAAAAACCACTTATTTAGCCTCGCCTTTTCTACCAGTTAACGCCTGCTTGTCAGTTAGCTTAATGCTTATTCTTATCTTTGGCTTATTCTTAATTACTTTTAATCATTTTAAAAAAAATTGACTGTTTCATCCTTTACACTTAGTTTCCTTTTATGCTTTTAGCAATTCTTTTGCTTTTGTGTTTTAATGCCATTCAGCCTGCTAGCATGTTTTGGTACCTTGCCCCATAGCCCTCATCCTTCCCTGTTACTTCATCCTACTCTCTTGCATGTTAAGCACTTTGGTACACCACTGGTTTTAAATGTGCTATATAAATAAAGTTTGTTGTTGTTGTTGTTGTGTTTTATCCACCACCCTTTACCCATCTACATATTTAACGGGGAAGCCAAAATGCTCCCACACATGAGATTTAAGTGATGCTGGAGGTTTCTCGAGGTCCTCTGCTCCTTCAGTTGGACTGCTAGCGCTGGCCATGACTATTGCTTGAAAGACTGACCATGCGCAGATTGCGCATGAAACTTGTGCAGTGAAACTTTTTTTTTTCTTTTTCGAATCTTCGGATCATGTGCGTACCGAACCATGGAGAGGGATCGGTTCGGATCACGGGTCAACAGTGATCTGTTGCACCACTACTCACTACTGAGCCACAATGACAGAAGAGACACAAACAAAATATAGCATAAAACAGTATTTGTCCCTCCTTTTATTTGTGTTATAGTGAATGTTATGTGAGGCCTAATGTTAACATAGAGTAAGTTTGATGGGTCTCTGTAAACATCATGTTACCAGTATGATCTAGTAAGAGTATAATGGATTGAAATGGAATTCATTATAATAACACAGTTCAATAGTATTTCTTCACTAGTGGTTGGCAAGCCATCTCAACGAGCAATTTCCTTCAGTGACCTGAAACTGGACCTTCAGTGAAGGTCCAGTTTCAGCTCTCCCACCCTGTATTATCGGCATTCTGAACAGAGGAGAAAAAAGGGCCAAAGAAACACACTTACACCGATTCTTTAAGTCTCCAATGTGCGGGAACCTAGCTTGCTTTAAGAGGCCAATGATATGTTATTGGCTGAGGAGAAACTCCCTCTCTTGTAGTCAGACCTTAACTGGCCCAACAACATGCAGGTGTGTGATAATGTGTCACACTCAGGTGCAGAGAGAATAGCAGAAATACTCAACTTTGGAACACAAAGCAAACCTGATGCACACGCACACATTCTCTCACACACAAGAAGAGGGAATAAGAGAGTGAAAGAGGGGAAAAGGTTTACTGCATTTAAACTCCCACTTTTAAGACAGTGAAATGAAAAAGCTTTTTTGTGGGTGGCATAAACATATTTTATCTTAGTGTTGCTGTTCAGATTCATGATTCAGCTTCTTTGATGGGAACACGTGTGTTATGTGTCGCCTGAAAAAAGTTGTTCCCATGTTCAATATATATTTCGTTTTCCTGTTGAGATATACTGTGTGTATGTATGTACGTATGTTTGTAAATGGAAAATTAATAAAAACAGACTTTTTGGGTTAATTTAGTGTGAGCAATGAAAAATGTCACCATCCTAAGGCAGTAATTATGGGAAAATATCATGTCACTACTGTTGTTGCTCTTTTATTGTTTTCTGCTCCAAACATCTTTACCTTATGTATTTGCCAAGTGCTAAAGTTAGACCTTTCTTAGAGCTGGTTGGGAGAAAGTTAGCTCTGTGTACAAGCAGACAAGCTTAAGGAATACAGATTCAACAGTCATTCATACGTTTAATTAGGGATTCTGTGTTGTCGTGTTTCATTTACACAGTACACACAAGGGAAGTGGACTAAACACCTGTAATTACAGACAAGCAGACACGCAGACAAGCTTAGGGAATAAGGATTCAACAGTCATTCACACCTTTAATTAGGGACTCTGTGTTGTCTTGTTTCATTTACACAGTACACACTTAATTTTTTTTAAAAAAAGAGACAGAATTATTATAACAATTATGTACATGTTTATTGTAACATTAAATGCTGTTTGTCAACAAGGTCTTCTATAAGGGCAATACAGAAGTAGTAGTAGAAGAATGATCATTTGTGTCATGCTCACTTTTAGCAGCCATTCAATATATCTTCATATTTTATAGAAACGTGATAATTACATGAACAAGCTCATTAACAGTGTACTGATAAAATCTGTACATAGGCAGTTCAGTCTGTGCATAGTGACAGTTGACTTACATAGTTGAAACTGTAATGAACAACATAGAGAAGATCAACTGTGGTGATATTTACTCTTATTGATATAATTCATAATATATATATAGCTGTCAGTGTAGTTTTATGTTAGTAACATCACCTTGAAATATTTTTCCAGAAATTATCATTTTAAAAGCTCTTCTAAACCAAGTGTAAAAGAAAGCATAAATAAAGGGATTGAGCATTGAGTTAGAAATTGCAAACCAGTTAAATGGTTCAAGAAGCACATAAAGTATAAAACTATCCAGAGGAACAAATGAATAACTAAGAAAAAGAGGAACCCAAAAAATTAAAAATATTCCAATAACTATGGTTAATGTCTTTGTGGCCTTTCTCTCCGTACTGGAAACTGCTTTAGACTTTGTGTTCTGAGAAATTGTATTATGGATGCTGCGTGCCTGCCTCAGTGCAACAACAAGAATTTTGGTGTACATGAAAAGTAAAACTATTGTTGGGATATAATATACTACCACTGATGCGGCAATGAGAGCGAAAAGGCAACTTGTGTCACATTCGTCTAAAATAAAAAACAGCAGGAAGACAAAAATTCCACACAAGATAGCAACAGCCCAACTTCCAAGGCCCATCTTCATGGCAACACAATCAGTTATTTTAGTTTTATATATCAGAGGGTGGCAAACAGCATAATATCGATCAACAGAAATACAGCACAAATTTAATAAGGAAGATACACCCATTGTTACATCCATTGTGCTTCTTAAGTTGCACAGTAAACTGTATATATACAAACATGGCTTTAGAGACACTGTCATGCTCAAAGGAAATATTAAAGCACCAATTAGTAGATCAGCCACAGCCATAGAGAGGATAAGGTAGTTTGTAGGAGTGTGGAGATATCTAAAGTAAATTATAGAAATTATCACAAGAAGATTTCCACATATTGTAAGAAGCATAAATGAGCTGAGGACAACATATAATAACACACATAATTTGTTCTTTTGTGAATCGCAGAGAAGGAAGCTCACAGTATTAACAGTCACATTGAATAACTCCATGACTCCCTGTCACAGCCCTGGAACAAGTTTCAATTTTCAGCATTCAAAAAAACATTTCTTTCTCTGTTCTCATGAACAAACAAACAAACAATGCATTCTTTAGGTTGTCTACATACCTGTATGAGGTTGTCTACATACCTGTATGAGGAGTGTGTTAAGAGACTTTTAACATGACAGTCACATGACTGTAACATTTCTCAGCTAATTAGAATAACGAATACATTATGCACTTGTCCAATTAAAAGTGAGAAACGTATGGCCGTTGCTGACATCACAAGTAGTGATGAGTTTGCATGTGTGTTTATGCATGATTTGTATCGTCATCCCAAATTAGATGAACTGGCAATAACTATTTGTGGCCACTTCTAATAAAAACAATTTGTTTTTAAGGTGATAGTGTACAGTTGACCTTTTTCATTGTTTGTTAACACCTGAGCACTGATAGCACAACATCTGCAGACACTATAGAAAAGCATGTCCATGATGATGAGTGCTAATATTGTTGTATCATCAGCAAGCGTGTTGATCTGATCTGTGCTGAATTTGGCAGTGCAGTCATCTGTCACCACAGTAAAGAGCAGTTGACAAAGTACTCAGCCCAGAGTGCAGCCCTGCTTTGGTGATTTCTTACTGCCAACACATACTGTCTGCTGTCTTTCTGGCAATAAGTCCAAAATACAATTACAGCATGAGATAATAAAACTGAGCAGAGACAGCTTCACCATCAGCTTCAAGCTGATTTTGTTAAAGCAGGGGTAGGCAACTCCAGGCCTCGAGGGCCGGTGTCCTGCAGGCTTTAGATATCACCCTGGGTCAACACACCTGAATCAAATGATTAGTTCATTATCAGGCCTCTGGAGAACTTCAAGACATGTTGAGGAGGTCATTTAGCCATTTAAATCAGCTGTGTTGGATCAAGGACACATCTAAAACCTGTAGGATTCTGGCCCTCGAAGCCTGGAGTTCGACACCTGTGGTCTACATGCTCTTCCAGAGGGGTCCAGTGAGATCGAGGAGGGGGTAAGATTTTTAAAGTGACTGATTAACACTTAAAATCGAGCCAATGAATTATTTAAAAGAATATAGACCTCTTGTGCTGAAGATAATTTAATCTGAAAGGAAGTGTTAAAACCAATGTTTATAACATGAATATAAATAAGAACAGTGATTATTCTGCAGAGTATTCTGCAGAGTAAATTCTGCATTATTTTAATATCATTATTCTGCCTGAAGTAAATATTTGAGAATAAAGAAATGATGACGCTCCACAGCTTTCATTCAGTTAGTCAAACCTACTCAACCTGAATATCTGAGCTCATCAGGGAACATTATCAGAAGTTCTGGGTGAGGATGGAAGACCTCAGATATGGGGACATGATGAGCATGACCCCTACCTTCAAAGGATGCAGGATTTATGGCCTAAAGAAAAAACAGAAAGGAAGACAACAACAACTTGGGAAAGGAGTAATCATGCCTTCACAGATTTGAAAAAGGAGGCAAACATATCTCTGAAAGATCAGAGAGTTTAAAAGCTTACATGCTTATGCTTTAAGAACAAAAAAGAGGAGAAAAAAAAGAAGAGATGGGAGACTCAGAAGAAGAAATCTGTATCACTGGAAGATTCTCACTTTAAATTGGACCTTTGGAGATGTGAGATGGGATAGAGGTAAGGCAACTTTCTCTGGAGGTACTGGCCAATCACCAATAAACAATCGCTTTTGCCTTAACTGTATCTGCCCTGCGCTTTTCCCCTTTTCACAATGAACCCTAGGAATTTTACTGTCTCAACGTGACATAGAGGCATTTCCAAAAGACACTGGTGAACCAGAAGGACATCGGACTTATGCTCCTGGACAGACTTTGAGAAAATACGAATGTCATCAAGGTAAACAGGCACAAAATGATTAATGAAGTCATGTAGCATGTCATTGAAAAGGGGTTAGAAAACTGGGGAGACATTAGCCAAAAAAAGTATGGCAATATTCAAAGTGGTCCAGATGTGTCTAAAAGGCTGCTTTCTATTAATCACTCTCTTTAATTCTTATCAGGTGGTAGGTTTGGTGAACAGTGACGCACCCTAAAAGAGCTGAAAAGCAGAGGACAAAAAAAGCAGAGGATATTTAGTTTTAACAGTAATTTTGTTTATCCCACAGAAATCAGTGACAGAAGTGTTACTGTCTTAAGTGACAGATGATTCCAGCGGCTAGTGTACTGTACAATCAAAATTGCTCCCAACAAACATAGATGTTTACATCAGCACTGTAACTTGCACTATTTTATCAACCGATTCACACTACAACCTGGGTTTGCCTCTTATCTGTATTTAATTTTATTTAATTCTAATAACTGTACAGTACTCTGTTTTTGGTAACTATTGTCCTTGATGTAAATATGTAAAACAAAATGTGTATTTTTCTGTTCTGTGACCTGTGTACTGTTTGTTTGTATATGTGTTTTAAATTAAATGATGATTCTATTCTATTCTATTCTATTCTATTCTATTCTATTCTATTCTATTCTATTCTAGTGAATTGGTTATGTAACTATATAGATGGCTTGAGATGAATGGAGCATCTGGTAGCAGAATGATTGTGCAATCATATGGAAGCAGCAGTGGTGGTATAAGTGAGAGGGTGAGATCTTTACTAAATACCTCAGCAAGGTCATGATATACTTCTTGTACAGTTATGAATACTAAATCTACCAGGGGAGTGGCTGACTTTAAACACTGTTGGAGACAATCGAGGTTCCACCCAGAAATACTGTTTTTTTTAAATCAATGTGAAGATTATGCAAACTGCCATTAGACAGAACAGAGGTACAGCGCTTAGGAAAGAGAGAGACAGAAAGTGGTAAGTCAATCGGCGAGGACAGAGGGATTCTGCCAATTATGAGGCACAGTAGTCTGTTTTCTGGAAATGGCATTCCAGTGACTCAAAATGGTACTGAGTAGTGTTTATGGTATAAGGCATATATATATTTATAAGGCATAACTGAGCTCCTGGACACTCTGAGGGGAAACCTGGCAGCATCAGATGGACTGAAATATAATGCATCAGAGGTATTGTATTGGTCAGCCGACTGTGGAGGGCAGTCAGTGGTGTCACTTCCTTAATCCTCCAGGAACTGCCTGCATATTCTTCCCACACAAGGCCACGAACTGCGTGCAGCATTCGATACTGTTGACCATAATATCCTATTAGAGCGATTAGAACATGCTGTAGGTATGTATCATATCTATCTAATAGACTACAATTTGTACATGTAAATGGAGAGTCCTCTTCACACACTGAGGTTAATTATGGAGTTCCACAGGGTTCAGTGCTAGGACCAATTCTGTTTACACTATACATGCTTCCCCTACGCAGTATCATTAGAAGACATAGCATACATTTTCACTGCTATGCAGATGACACCCAGCTCTATCTATCCATGAAGCCAGATAACACACATCAATTAATTAAACTGCAGGAATGTCTTAAAGACATAAAGACCTGGATGGCCACTAACTTTCTGCTTCTTAATTCAGATAAAACTGAGGTTATTGTACTCGGACCTGAAAAGCCTAGAAATATGGTATCTAACCAGATTCTTACTCTGGATGGCATTACCTTGGCCTCCAGTAACGCTGTGATGAACCTTCAAATCAAAATCCTGCTCCTGACATACAAGGTCTTAAATAATCAGGCCCCATCTTATCTTAATGACCTTGTAGTACCATATCACCCTATTAGAGCACTTCGCTCTCGCTCTGCAGGCCTACTTGTTGTTCCTAGAGTATTTAAAAGTAGAATGGGAGGGAGAGCCTTCAGTTTTCAGGCCCCTCTTCTGTGCAACCAGCTTCCAGTTTGGATTTGGGAGACAGATGCGCAGAGCCATTGCAGGGGGGTCGGGGAATGAATAAAAACAAAAGAATGCTTGGACACTGGACAGGATAATGGACAGGTTTTTGACGGGTCTCCCACGCAAGAGATGAAGGATTCCCAAATATGTTTCCAAACAAACTTCCTTTCAAGCCAAATACTAGAAAATATGAAGAAGCATATCTTCCCTTTGGCTTCACCTGCACAAGTGCCAAGGTAGGTCTCCGCGACAGAATTAGTTTCCCCTGCGTCACGCAAAAACAGAATCCCACATTCTTGATTTTTAGTTCACAAACACTTCTTGTAATGACTAACTACTCCTGACATTTTGGAGATGTTAGCTGTTTATACAGTAAAGTTACAGTGGGATACAAATAATATCAGGCTGATCCTGCCATAACTTGTTCCCCCTGTACAAATCACGGACAAACTATTGTTAGGTGGTGGGGGGTTGCGAAGATTTTTCTTGTAAGACAAAGGGGGACCTTGAAAAAAGTTTGGGAACCACTGCATTAGAAGATACCAGGCCCTCAAGCTAACCTAGTGAAGTCTGTTTCTGATTGTTTAGTCAGACACCAGAGTCTGAATGCATGTGAATGGGTAAATGTGAGAATGAGGTAAAGTGCCTTTACATGATCCATTCAATAATCTACTTTTTTACTATGTACAGCACTTTGGCCAACCTGTGTTGTTTTTAAATGTGCTTTTATGAAGAGGAAGGGAGAGAGGACGGTCCCTTCTGGTGCCGTCCTCTCTCCCTTCCTCTTTACCCTCTACACCACAGACTTCAGCCACTGCACAGAGACCTGCCATCTTCAGAGGTTTTCTGATGACTTTGCGGTGGTTGGGTGCATCAGCAGAGATGATGAGACAGAGTACCGGGCTGTGGTCGACTCCTTTGTCACGTGGTGTGAGCAGAATTGTCTTCAGCTCAACGTGGCAAAGACCAAGGAACTGATCGTGGACTTCAGGAAGACCAGGAAACACTCGACCCCTGTTTCAATCCAGGGGGTCAATATTGACATTGTGGAGGACTACAAATACCTTGGAGTATACATTGACAATAAACTGGACTGGGCGAAAAACACCACAGCACTTTACAGGAAGGGCCAGAGTCTCTATTTTTTGAGGCGACTGAGGTCCTTCAACATCTGCCGAACAATGCTCAGGATTTTCTACAAGTCT